ATATATGTATGTATGTACATATCCTCATTAATTTATAACATAGTTTTTGTACTACAAGTACAAATGCATATACGGTCACTACCAGAAATATTTTGCATAGATTTTTTTTTTTGCAATATTCGGAATATTCTTCATGGTATTTTTTTTTGTTAATTTAAAAAAATATATACGCATGTGCAATTTTGAAGTTGCTAAAACATCCCGTTGACATTTTATATTTTTTTTTGCCACAAAAAAATTCGTTATAAGGAAGGAAATGCCCATCATCGTCAGTAAAAAAAATTCAAAAATCAAGGGAGTTTTTAGCAACTTTAAAATTGCACTTTATTTTATTAAATTTAATGGGCTATAAAACTGCATAATAGAATTTTTTTTTAAATTATGATTAAAAAGTTTGATATTTTGATGATAATTTGGTGAACTTAAACCAACTTTCTCTAAAGTGTGAAACTTTGATTTACATGATTTTTGTTGTAAAATGAGCTATATATTTTTTTAATTAACAAAAAAATACCATGAAAAATATTTTGAATATTGCAAAAAAAATCTATGCAAAATATTTTTGTAAGTGACTGTATTTGGTACAGCAGTAACTGCCTACGTAACTATATAAAATTTTTTAAATCACTGATTGAGATCAATTTAAGATATTATCAGTATATTTAAGTAATAATAAAAAAGTTAACACATTTAAGTAAAAAATAAATATATAAGTGCATCACCTATTCCATTTTGAGCGAAGCAAATTTATTCCTTCTGTTGATGGAAATGGGTTGAAAAAAATTCTTGTTTTGCCCTTGAGAGGGGATATTTGTGATAAAAGTTTATTTGGCTAACAAAAAAATTGTTTCCAGCAATCCCGGGATTTAAATCGACGGCCGCTGCTGTGACCGCTATCCCTTTTTACATATATATGTATACAAGTATACAGTACATACGATTCAGTTTCTCCAAAACCTCTAAAATTGAGAAATATTTTGCTTTGAACAAACAAATCGTGCTTCGGGAAGATTTTATTCCTTCACGTCACAAGCTCCTAACCATTTATATCTAATAAAGGAGAAAATTTGAACAATTTCACTCAATCCACAAATTTATAAGATTCCTACAGCTTTCAAGCGCGCAATTCATTTTTTATATAATTAAAATTAGAAATGTGCGATTAATCGGTTAATCAGTTTTTTAATTAATCATAATCCGTATTAATCGAATAAATTGATAAATCAGATCCTGATTAATCAGGTCCTGAGTAATTACTGTTTACTAAAAAAAATTAATTGAAATCTGAATAACTTTGTTCACTTCTTTCGAGTTTGCTTTCAAATGAAGTTTATTTATACGTATGTTTGTATGTACAAATTTGTATGTTCGTAAGCACATTCAATATTTTTCGTATTAATAAAAATGAAATGCCAAACAAGTACGTACTATGTAGTACATACATAGATACTACGTAAATATGTATGTAGCTCCCTAAAATGAAAAATACGTATGCATATATACGTACATACTCAGCAAAAAACACGATTACCGCAGAAACGAAAGTGGAAACGAGCTAGGCGATGGGAATCGCTTACCCTTTCGCTTCAAGAAGGCCTTACTTTAACATGGGCATGTCATTGGAGGTAAGCCCTTACCCGCAGCATTACCTTCAAACGAAGGGAGAACGCACGGATAAACAGAATCCAGAGAAGCGAACAAAGAATGCCTTACAGAGAAACTAATGTAGAATGCCTAGACAAGTACATACTTGTTTATATTAAATTGAAATCAGAAAATGTCTTAAAAGATTAAAATTAATTAAAATTTTTATAAATCAGTTTTTATACATACATATGTATGTATGTATTTAGGTATTTAGATTTTCTTAAAAATCGCTATGTACATACATGCATATTTAATAAAGCTTAAAATTGTACTTCCTCAATCTTGTACTTCGCTTGATTGACTGACTTCAACTTCGCTGTAAATTGAACAAAGCAAAACATGATTTTTATGCGAGACAAATTTCTACAGAAAGTAACGGTAGAAAGGAAATTTTTGGATATTCGTTCTATTTTTCAGCTGACTACGATGCAGCATTCTACTTTGCATTCCCCGAGATGAAGCAAAGAAGCGAAATAAAAAAAAATATTGTAGGACATTCTACTTTGCATTCCCTTAAATGAAGCAGAGAAGCGAAACAAATAAAATATTGTAGGACATTCTACTTTGCATTCTTTCGAATATATTTTGACATACAATATATCGTTGCCTTAATATAGAAAGGCCACATCGTCGCTGAAATACAAAAAGCCGTAACTAAGTAAAAATCCCAAATTCCCGTTTTGATTGATTATGATTTATTTCATGGAATTATGTGTCCCCAAATCATTTTAAGCAATTAAAAATTTCAGTCAGTTACGGCTTTTTTGCATTTCAGAAACTATATGAGTTAGGGCCTTTCTATATTAAGGTAACGATATTCAAAAAATTTTGTGATCCAAATCTATCTAAAATATATTAAAGCTATAAACAGCTCCATGATTTTGTTTTCAGAGATCGTGCCAACAGCGTATAGGGATTTTCTTTCATATGTAAAACCAGACTTTCGAGCTTGTGTTTACTATGCACGACGTTAGAACTGCTTGAAATTAATACAAATTGTTAAAAATTAGTGTCTAGCCGCCAAAAAGTAAGAAAACAAATGCAAAATCATACAATTTTTAAATTTTCTAACATTTCGCTATGCCAACGAAAGCAAAATTCTGTTCGACAGAAAATTCGATACTCAACGAAAATTTCGACACGCTTGCATAGCTCATAACACGAATTTCACTTTCGATCTTCGATCTTCGATAGCCAGCGAAGATCGAAAATCGAATGCAACTCATAATAGGGGCCAATATCGAGAGTAACTATTAAGGACTATTTTATTGTTCCTCCCTTCCAGGGTTTGCCTGCAATTGCTTTTGCGGACAGGTCTCTTACCTTGTTTATACCTACACAAGAACCGCATTAACAAAAAACCGATTATACTCAACATATATTTCTTTACAGCATTTACACCCCTGTCTTTATAGCGCACTCGATAAAGTCGTTTTCAAAAGTAAACAAAATCTGCAATTTTTATACGACTTTTTTTTAATAAATAATTTGCGCGGCTGACCGAAATGGAAACAAACAATAATTGTAATTTATTATTACAATAATTCGAATTTAAAACGGGCTGTATAAAGAAAACCAGCCTATTTTCACTTCACGTGAAATGAGTGATGCGTTTATACTTGCTTTCTAACTGATGTGAGAAACAAAAAACCGATTTGAAAACAAATTGAAGTCAATACACTTTTCAATTTCAACGCGTTTTGAAATTTAGTTTATGCATCCGTTTTGAATCACAGCGAACTGGGTCAAAGCGTTTTATGTGTCGGTGTAAACAAGGTATCTGACTACTTTTATCGCATCAATGATGGACTTTGATTTACAAAAGCCGAACTGGTGGGTTGACAAACCACCAGATGCTTCAATAGCATTTTGGACGCGATCATGGCTAATTCTTTCGAGGATCTTCCCCATTGAATCGAGCATGCAGATGGGACGATAGTTGTTTGGATCGTTTGGCTGCTTTTTAGGCTTTGGGATGAGATTAACCCCCCTATTATGAATTTTCATACGATAGACGATAAGCGCTTGCAAGCGTATCGTATAAAATGAGTTTTCGTATTATGGTTTCCACACGCCCGATAGATTGTGAATGACAGTGGTATTTGTTTGCCATTTATTGTGAATTTAAATGAAACAGCTGTTTTTTTCTAGCTAAAATATTTTCAAAGCAAACATTTTGTACCTTAAAAGTCGCGAAAACTTCCATAAACCATACAAAATTGAGAAAAAACATGTTTCCTTTAACCTCAATTACGTTTTACATAAATTCAAATGAATAAATTGTTGAAACTCGCATAGAGGCTACAGTACGCAATTGAGAGATGCTTCCAATCCTCTGGAGGTGAAGTCGATAATGTGAGTAACTGGAATAAGTTTTATTTGTTAGTTATTAAAAAAAATATCATTAGATTTCAGAGCAATTTTCAACTTTCGAAAAAAGCTGTTATATATGTTTGTTCTAACATAAGTGGAGAACAGTGTTGCCATTTCAGTCGTTTTCCGGCTAGATTTAGCCGGTTGCGATAGCAAACAGCCGGAGAAATTTCGATTTAGCCGGCAGCCGATTTGTTAGCCGTTTTGCAAAAAAAATAAAAAATTGCCGTTTTTAGCTGATTTTGTTATTTGCCTTGTTTTCTTAAAATTCAAATATATATGTTTTCATTTTTGACCAAGCGATCCAAAATCGGTTAGAAATGGCTACTAGCCTTATCGCGGAGAAAATTTTCATGTCAGGCAGGGTTATATAAAATTGGGTCGATTTCGCTTATTTTTATTTTAAACGAATATATTTTTTCTAAAGATGGCCGTAGCGAGGATTTTCGTCATAAATGTTTGTTATGAATGTATTAAGTTTAAGTCGTTTGTGTTTGGATATAGTGCCAACACATAGAATAAATGTTACAGCCCAGCAAAATATCGGTAATCGCTTTTAGTGGTAACGTGTTCTAGAAAGCATAGCGTTATAGTGCCTTCGAATTTCTTCGCTTTTTTTAGGCATTGCCGGTAATGCAAAGTAGAATGTCCTACAATATTTTATTTATTTCGCTTCTTTGTTTCATTTCGGGGAATGCAAAGTAGAATGTCCTATAATATATATATTTTTTAATTCGCTTCTTTGATTCAATTCGGGGAATGCAAAGTAGAATGTCCTACAATATTTTATTTATTTCGCTTCTTTGTTTCATTTCGGGGAATGCAAAGTAGAATGTCCTATAATATATATATTTTTTAATTCGCTTCTTTGATTCAATTCGGGGAATGCAAAGTAGAATGTCCTACAATATTTTATTTGTTTCGCTTCTCTGCTTCATTTAAGGGAATGCAAAGTAGAATGTCCTACAATATTTTTTTTTTATTTCGCTTCTTTGCTTCATTTGGGAGAATGCAAAGTAGAATGCTGCATCGTAGTCAGCTGAAAAATAGAACGAATATCCAAAAATTCTGTTTCTACCGTTACTTTCTGTGGAAATTTGTCTCGCATAAAAATCATGTTTTGCTTTGTTCAATTTACAGCGAAGTTGAAGTCAGTCAATCAAGCGAAGTACAAGCGTGAGGAAGTACAATTTTAAGCTTTATTAAGTATGCATGTATGTACATACCGATTTTTAAGAAAATCTAAATACCTAAATACATACATACAGTGACTCACAGAAGTATTTTGCATGAGAAGACGATTAAGTAAACCTTTGAATTTATTTGATTTTATTTTTTATGTTAAGTATTTGACAGGTTGATAAAATNTTCATGTAAACGTAACAAAACTTAAAAAAATCATAATTCATTGCTCACAAAAGTATTTTGCTTTTGACTAGGTGGTGAATAAATATACGATATTCTATCTATTCAATATTTTGTATGATAGCCATTATTTTTGGAAACCGCCTCCAAGCGTCTTGGAATAGATTCTATCAATTTTCGACAAAATTCAGGAGGTATTTTTTCCCATTCTTCGAGCAAAACAGCTTTCAGGTCACTCTTTGACGAAATTTTGTGTCCCCGCACTCTATCTTCGAGATAAGCCCAAAGATTTTCTATGGGGTTGATATCGGGACTTTGGGGAGGTGTTGGCAAATGTTTTGTGTTGAAAAGTATCCACATTTTAACATCATGAGCTGTATGTTAGGGATCGTTGTCGTGTTGAAATAAAAACTCGTTAGTTGACATACCCATTTTTTCAACACTGGAATGTAAGTTGTCCTTGAGAATGGACAAATAAAGATGTTTATCCATCGTTCCATCTATAAACACTAGTTTTCCAACTCCCTGAGCCGACATACAACCCCACACCATGACAGAACCTCCGCCGTGCTTAACAGTGGATTTAATATTTTTGATTCGCAGCTCCTAATTTTTCTTCCGCCATACCATACGACGACCGTCCGGTCCGAAAATGTTGTATATGCTCTCGTCACTAAAGATCACGGTTTTCCAAAACTCAAAACCTTTTGTTTTATAGGTGTTGGCGAATAGAAGTCGCTTTTCTTTATTAACTTTTGTAATTAGTGGCTTTTTCCGCGCTGCACGACCGTGGATATTGTTACTTCTGAGTACTCTGCGCACCTTCTCATCGGATACTTGAGTGTGAAGGGTTGCCTTTATTTTGTCATTAATTTTTGGGGCTGATAAATGTGGGTTTTGGCGATTTTCTTTTAATATTTGGCGTTCTTCTCTCACTGTCAGCAACTTTGGTCGACCAACACGCGTTATATTTTCTAAATTACCGCGTTCTTTACACCGTTGAATTACGTTTTCGATCGTTTGGCGACATCGAGTAAACATATTACAAATATATCTCGTAGGTTTGCCTTCATTGTGAAGGTATAAAATAATATTTTTTTCAGATGTAGTTAATTTATTACCCTTTGGCATTTTCGATGTGCACAGTACCACAATTACAAATGAAATGAATTCAGTAACTAGCAAAATTGATGATAAAACACACTAGTAACCACCACTTCAGCGAAAATAGAAAAACAAACGAAACTGCGCCCAGTAACGGTTTCAAAAACAAAAAGCAAAATACTCTTGTGAGCACAGAATTCCATTGCTACGCACGTTTTTTGTTGTATGTAACTAACGGTACAATTTTTGTGCACGCCGTGTAGCCCATTTCCTAAGAAAATGCTCAATAATTGGAGTACGCATTTTATTTAGTAAGCTCGGATATTTAGTGCATAAGAAATTTGAAATTTGTGCATACAAGTAATTATGCAAAATACTTCTGTGAGCCACTGTATGTATGTATAAAAACTGATTTATAAAAATTTTAATTAATTTTAATCTTTAAAGACATTTTCTGATTTCAATTTAATATAAATAAGTATGTACTTATCTAGGCATTGTACATTAGTTTCTCTGTAAGGCATTCTTTGTTCGCTTCTCTGGATTCTGTTTATCCATGCGTTCTCCCTTCGTTCGAAGGTAATGCTGCGGGTAAAGGCTTACCGCCAATGACATGCCCATGTTAAAATAAGGCCTTCTTGAAGCGAAAGGGTAAGCGATTCCCATCGCCTAGCTCGTTTCAACTTTCGTTTCTGTGGTAATCGTGTTTTTTTTTGTGCTCCCAGATAGCGCATATTCAATTCTGCCTTAATTACAAAACATCATTGTTGCCCACGCTTAAAGGTTAAAGGTAAGGGAAAAATGGATATTTTCAAGCACTATGTACACTAGAGTGGCCTTAATAAACCGATTTTTGAAAACCAAAGGTTTTCGCACGGAAAAATATGAGGTTGGGTATAAAAATAAATATGAAATTATTTTTAAAGCCTTAAGATAACCCTTAGGAGTTCCGGGTTGGACCGAAAAGTGACGAAATTGAAGCTAGTTTTTATGAATTTTCATATTTTATAATTTTAAGATGGCGAAGTTTTATTGTGTGCGTTTTTATCGAAAATTTCATGAAATAGCTTTTCCAAAATGTCATTTAAGTTTCAAATCGGTTAAAATAACGCATCATCATAGAATTGCAAGGCCTTAGAAGTACGAAAAAACACAAATCACTAATTTCAACCAAGCGGCAGTCCTATAATCCGATGTTTGCGAAAAGTCAAGCGTGAACGGCATTTTTTTTACAAAAATTAAATTGAACTAATACAGAAAAGGTAAAATGGCCGCAACATCGGTAAGCCCATCCAGGAAACAATTCCGATCCGATGACTATACAATTTTTTTTATTTGGAAAATGTGAAAGTGAACTCAAAGGCGCAAAGTTGCCGAGCATGAAACAAGTTCTGCAACTATTTTTTTGCAAAACGCGAATAAAAAAAGTCGGGGAATGTCGGTGTAAAAAATACAATTGATGCTACCAATGACTTTTATCAAAAGGCTAGCATTCCTACGATGACCGCAACCAACTGTGTGAAAAAATTTTAATGCCACCACCTATTAGGATTGTTCTATACCGAAAAATGTTATAGACCCATTTTTTATTTTGAAATCAAAAAATATTTAGAGACTGCTCAAAGTGCTCAAAGTATGCCATGTATTTTATATGGGGAAAAAACAACTTTTCATAGAAATAGTATAGAATTCTTAAAAATCAAGATGTATCCATCGGAAAACTCTGTTTTTCTTTAGGAGATTCCCAATAAAACCCACTTGTTTATTTAAGAATTTTTTAATGGTAACTATATTTTATAGGTCCTCCAAAGACCCTACATTTAAAATGCAATGGGGGGCCAATAAAAAATCGTTAGTATTAAAATGGTTAAATAAACAATTGGATATTATTATTGGAAATCTCCTGAAGAGAAGCAGAGCTCTTCGATCGAAAAATATTGATTTTCAAAAACTTTATACCGTTTCTACGAAAACTTGTTTTTCCAGTATAAAATACATAAAGGGCGAGGGTGTGAGATTTTCAACTGCCCTGTCGATATCATTCTTAGTCCGAATAAGAATTTGCGGGTCAATGTGCGAACTGATATACTTTTTGTATTATAACCAGTTTGTGTGCTTATTTGTAAGATTTTTTGTTTTTCTTCATAGTTAAGAAACATTGATAATGTTATGAGGCAGGGTGAATGATCTGATGAGAGATTAAATAATGCTTCTGTATTAACTTGGTCTCGCGCAATACCCTTTGTTACACCAAAGTCAATAAGATCGAGTATTTTTGGAGGTCCAATACGTTGGCTGACCATTAGACAATACGTCAAATCCTCTGTTCTAGATTACTTTATATAGATTTCTACCCTTTGGTGTAATCAATCTAGACCCCCAGAATGTATGTCTGGCATTGTAGTCTCCTGCTACAATAAACTTACTGCCAAACTTTAGGAAAAAGTCATCAAATTGTTTTTCCGTTATGTTATGACGAGGGGGGCAATATATTGCAGATACAGTAAGGCCACCCAAGTGGTCATC